GGGGGGGGGGGGGGGGGGGGGGGGGGGGGGGGGGAGGAAGATGGGTCTTTCACCCCTCCCCCAGTGGTACAGGCACCAGTGTTGCAAAAGCCCAGGCCTAAATCTAAAACTAAAATAAAATTAAACTAAAATCTAAAGTAACTCTCTTGTTATAACTCTATTCCTAGTTTTTGTACAGTTCCCGGGTGGGAGGGGGCTCTCCTCTCCAACCCTTGTCGCCCCCTTCCCTCCCAGAAACGCCACTTTCCTTCCCACCCCTCCCGCCCCTTCCCCACCCTCCCCTCGCGCCCACGGGATTCTGTTCTGGATCCGTCTATAGAAACAACATCCCTCAAAACTACAACAGGAAGGTGTTTTAAAGCAAGAAGAACACGAGAAGAGCAAATAATATTAAGAAATTAGTAAAAGCAATGAAAATATTTTGATAAAATTATTATAATAAATCTTTTGCGAGTCCATTACAAGCCTTTCACGCATTTAAATTTGTTTAATTGCAACCAATAAATGTGCCAGCTCTCCCAGACGGTAAGATACCTCAGCATGGTGCAATATTCGGGACGAGGTAATGAAGCTTCACATACATCAAGGACTTCATGGAATGGCGAAAGCCAAATACCGCTAAGCCGGAAGGTGTCTTCAGGAACCAAAAAAAAAACGTCAAGATCGCCAGCAGGCCGATCACTGGGCACTGTAGCATTGGTCAAAGGAACTGGAAAAGTTCCTGGGGAATCAGACTATGAATTACAGCTGTTGATTCAAACGAGTATTTCAAATACAGATGCACAAACTTGGCAGATCGGATGCTTTTGGCGAGAAATCAATATTGATGCTTATAGTTGCTGACGGTACAGCTGTTAATTTTCCCGACTTCTCGGCACTGCAAAAGAAAAAAAAATTCAGAAATTTATGAGAATTTGTTGAATTTTTGAAATATTTTCTATTCAGTAATACAAAAGTGAACTGTTACCGAAAGAAGTCAGCGAGAATCTTCTGTAGATCACCGTCGCCTAGTTTGTTACCGTCACAACGATACAGCTGCATTTCGTTGGGCAACTTCGTTCCACATCCTAGCATTTCTTGGAATACGGGCCTGAAATGCCAAGTTTTTACAGAGCCAACAATCCATGCCTAATTTTCAAGGTGTTAAAGTAGTTCTATCTTATACTGATCTTGCTGTACGGGTCTTCGGAATCAGTACTAGGCTGGGTGTGAATAGATTTACCTAATAGCAACAAATCAGTAGGGCGGTTTTGTCTTTTTCATCACTTCCAGTTCAATTTTTGAACATTTATGTGGCGTAATTCCAATATTTTTGGTAATCCCGGAATAATCGGCTTCTAGCATCCTTTTTCTGCGAGATCTATGTCATGAACAAGAGTGGAACGACCGTTAGTAGGTGAGCTAAGATGCTCTACGAACTAAAATAATTGGCCAACGCACGGGCTGCCCGTGCGAAGATGCGTTTTTTGCATAGTTCACCGCAGTTTCTGTTGCTACTGGCACCGGCTTTTTCAGCAAATGCTTCTAGCTAAACAAATTAAGACTGGCCGCTGGAACTGTCAGAAAACACCACCTTAAAATTTCAGCTTTCTAGCGTCCCAGAACCCCGAGTTAATTTACGCGGGAAAAATTTTGGCGGGCCGGTACGCGAGTACCACGCTTACCCGGGAGTTGGGATTGAGCTCATTAGTATAACTTGGACGGGGAACATTCCCTTAAAATTTCAGCTTTCTAGCTTTCCTGGTCCGCCAGTTATCAACTCACCCTAAAAAAATTTTGGCGGGCTCTTACGCGGGTATCACGCGGGTAGGGCCGCCCATTTTGGGGGTGGGGGACCGTACGTGCATGTAGATTATGTTCCCAAAGTTTCAGCCCTATAGCTTTTGCCGGTCCTCTCGTCAATATGCGTTTTCTGCGTTGCATAGCTGCAAAAAACGCATAAAATGCCAAAAAACTGAAAAGCGTTGCCGGAATAACGAACCAAGAAACTCCAGAAGGTGAAGTTTGCTATTAGATAACCCACTTTCGATTAAAGGAACGGTTCCAACATGTTTTCAAAACACCAAAATTCGTCCTGATAACGCTATCAC